ATTGCAGCATGCAAGCACGCGCCCCAGTACATGGCAGAAACGGCTTGCGACACATCATAACGATGCCCGGCATGGACTTCTCAGTGACAGGCTCTCGCACATGTGAAATCCATGGCGGGGTATTCAACGCCACAGGGGCAGTTCTCCCAGATTGTAATGCGCTCCCAATGTGCCGTTCTGGCAGCCGATCTTTTAAGCAACAAACGCATTCGGCTGGGGCTTGCTTGGCTCGTGAATGTCGCAGGCCGTCGTGGACCTCTCAAAATACCCGTCCTCCTTCATACACAGCACGTCCTCCTGCCAAGGGAGCAAGAGAGTGATGCGTGCACCGACGTCCTTATCGCTGTGACCCCTCACATTGTGAATAAGATAATGCACTACCACAAACAGCGCTAGAGAAAACATTCCCACATAACAATTGTGTAGTCATAGCGCAGCGTTGGGGTCACTCCCAGACAATCGGCTTGACTGCACAAGAGGGCTCAAATTGGGTGTCCATGGGGCATTTCGGCAGCGCATTCTAATTTCTGTGTCCATGATAGCTGTCCACAAACGATGGCCCTGACGATGTTATCGCCGTGGCCATGTCCAGTCATCCTAAAACCATCCTAGACAATGTGACGTGTGAATTCATGGCCTCCCAGTGTGCAGGCAATTGAAGCGCTGCACAAGGTACCCAAGGCCCGGAAGCTTGGGGACCTCCCCATGAATTTTGGCGCATGCAAACTGGGAGGCTGCACTTCTTTTCTTCCTTCTATCTCCTTTTCTGAGCAATTGATAAAACTGTATTTATGAATAATCAAGTGTTATTGAAGGTGTGATTTGCCTTGCGCAAGGCTATCCCAATTCGTTTGATACTTTCTTCTAAACTGCCCTGGTCGTGTACTATGGGGACGCCGCACAGGAGGGCCATACAGTGGTGCGTGATACATGGCAGAAATCTGCACAATGAAACGAAGGTTTACAAATACAACAGCGAATTACAAATTGGAATCCACGTTCATGTTGCCCTGATCCCAGTGCAGTGTCTTTCTTGCTGTCTCCTTGGTGTTTGTGTGTTAAGTACATACACCAAGGGGACCCCCCCAAAAGTTCATCCCACCGTCGATTGCAGCTTAATGTCCACAAGCACTATAACGCATACCTCGCCTGTGTCATGGCTGGGCTACATGGATGTATCCTGGGTCTATGCGCTGCAGTGACTTCAAGGCGATGAGAGGTATTCTTGTCGGTCACACACAGCGAGGCATGTTTGTCATAATGTCTATAGTGCTGTTTGTTGGCAAGTAATGTGCCAGTCAATGGTTCGTCTTGTTCAGAATCCCGATTGGGCCGGTTTGGTAGGCCGGCATGGTCAATACCTGTGTAAGCTACTCACAACCAGAGATTCCCAACTCCTATTGCCATCACTAACTCCATGACATGTCCTCAATCAAGCCATCTGTGTGCAGCGCTGGCGTCGGTGATGAGAACACAGCAAGAAGGGTTTTCCTGGAGCTTGAGGAGGGGTCATCGATCATTCGTGTTGGTCAAGATCTACGGTCATCCACTGTAACCAATTCCCCTTGAATCAAGGGCCTGTACAGTACACCAATCCCACACCTGCGCCTGTGCATAGAAGCGCATGCTGGGCATTTTGTGGCAAATCTTACAGAGGCTCATCTTGGAGTTGTCAACGCGATGCATTGTGACAAGGATCAGAAGATCACCAAAGTGAGCCACTGCAAGCCAGCAATCTGGTCCTATACTTTTGCTGCACTGGGAGGATTTTGCGGCTCTTCCAATAGTGGAGAAGGTGGCCTCACAAAAAGTGACTGGTCAGTAGGGGGATCGCCCATTGTTGGGCATGTTTCACACTGCGCTTTACTGAATTGGTGACTGTTTCATTTAAGCTGCCAATGGCACCTAGAGACTGCGTTGGCCTGGGCATGCCATTGTTCTCACTGGGGATTGATCTCCTTGCAGAATGAATAAGCTGCACAGTTTCACTTCTCATGACAAACACCAGCATTCTTGGTAAGCGCAACCCAATCACACCAAACAATACAGCAACACACTCCCTGTGAGAGCTTACTGTGACATATTGTGATGGCAGAAGCCGTTGCATGTTGCAATGTGCACATAGGTTCCCACCGATGTGCGTTATTAGGGATGAGCATTCAACAGGATGCTGGAAGCTGAGCTCTGTGCTTGGGAATAGCTACACCACATACCTACTCTCTATGCTGGCGTTGTGCTCTAGTACCACGAACTCCACAAGACAAGGTAAGGAGTGTGGAAGCAGTGATCTGAGTATCTGCATCACCAGATAAATTTCAAAATTGGAAGCCGTTCACAGTATTATGCACAATGAGAACAAAAGCATTCTCCTCGCCACACACAATAGTCACTTCCAAATGGAGAGTCCCATGGTGGATAGCGGTGAACAAAGCAATCTATCCATCACCAAACTGGTGATCAGCCCCTCGTGGCAGTTGCTGTGTGAATGCTGGAAACACAAAGTTCCCACTGTACAAGTTGCAGAAAAGCCGTACAAAACTGAACACCCTCGTCAGGGAACCCACCACGTTATTTCCCATTTTGGCAGCTGCCATTGCCCTGGTCAATGGCCACCCTTGGTCCTCAAATCCTCACAGTGCAACACCAACGTTTTCTTTAATTTCCGTGGACACTGTTGCCTTGCCCCAGACCCCATAAGGTGCATTGCAGATCCTGTCCGCAACAGCCTGCTCAAGCGAGACAGTCATCGCTTGGGCAGCACCGTCACTAAGCACCATACTTGGGACCGTGAAAGCTAGCAGAACATCTGGGTCATGTGCATGTGGTTCTTTCTTCCTGACTGGCGGCCTGTTCTCTCCCAACGCCCCACAAGTGACCCGACACTGGAACAACACAAGCTCGGCACACGACAGTGCCCTGGACACTTCCTGTGGGTCATGCGCTGGTAAGCCAGGGGCCAGCAAGACATACACAGCGGGGTAGCCCAGCAGCCACCCGCTCAAGGTGGGAAAGAAGGCATCCTCGCAAAAGCTTGATATGTCGATCGCATCAACGGATGCAGAGGTGCTTGCCTCCAAGTCTGACGCTAAGCATCTGCACGTTGAGCGCAGCTGATCACGGATGCACTGCACCTCTGGTGTCGTTGCTACTTTGGGCACAAGCAGGCCACGTCCTGCAACACGCTCGAAGGCAATGAATTGTGGAAATGTTCCCAACTCGACGCAGGTATTGATCATGCTCCCCAGCTCAGCTGTATTTGCCACAAACCAGCAGCAATCCCCAAATCGAAGGGCCAACAGCCTGACCCCCGTGAGGCTGGCAGCAGCCCTCAACAGGGTCACCACCTGGTCCCTTCGCAGGTGCACATAATCCACCATGAACACGGGGCGCACTCGCGTCACGCACGCCAGAAGGTCCCTGGCGAACTGCCTCCAGGATCGACAAGTCCTCAAGTTGGTCTTCACCAACCCAATGACGTCCAGGAATGTGCCGTTGGCCACAGATTCTCCGGGGCATGCCGCCATTGCGGCGGTCAACACGCCGGCGGGCCCCTTTCCAGGAATCATTGTGTCCCCACGCTCAATCCTCGATCGACGGATGCAGGTCCCAAAGCCAGAAAGGGCTCTCCTGTTGCAACACCCACCGCCACTGACGGCCACACTGCGACCGAAGCGCTATCCCGCCAGCCAGTGCGATGCTAGTACTCTGACCCTTCGCCGAGCTCTTCTGCCCGATCACAGCTGTGCATTTACGTCCACCTCAGAGAAGAAAAAGGGGCGCCTTCACCTTCCCCACACACCCCGCCCACCGCATCCCCCGTTCCGCAAGCCCCCCCGCCTCCCCGTCCCCTTTTCGAATCCCCGCGCACGCCACGGACACCTGCGCTCGTGGCCGTGCACACGAAGGCAGGCGCCGCCGACGCCCGCCGGCCCCTCTCGCCGGCCCCAGTTCGCCACCTCGTCCCGCGTGTCGGTCCCGCGGCCCCCGCCGTGGTTGTTGAGCTCGCGGAATGCACAGGCCTGCCCTGTCGGCAACACAAGGGCGGCTGCCTGCTGGGCCTTGAGGCCTTTGCAGAGTCGCTGCCAACTAATGGCCCGACAATGTTGCTTGCTGCCTGGAGCTTACCTCCAGGTGAGTGTCCATTCAAAACTGTGGTCGTTCAGAACTGCGACCGTTCAGAACTGCGACCGAAACCGTGACAAAGGAACAACCACCAAAGTGCCTTCATGATAATGACAACTGTATTGCCCCATGCAAGCAATGAACTGCAAGGGAATTAAAGGCAACTATAGCAGCACCAAACGGAGGTTCGTTGCCGTGCACAGCTTGGCATTGCAGGACTGCATGGTGAGGGCTGTGCTGCTTTCTTCTGGCTCCTTTTGTACAGTGCATGTCAGAACGCGTACATCTGCACAATAATTCTCTTGTCAGCATGACGCAATATTCTGCCCATGTGTTCTTGCATCAATTGATTGGCCACTCAACACACAATATGCTGCACAGCCTACCCAATGACCACGTGCTCCTCAAAAGCCATTGAGAACTAGGAATGTGGTGGTGGTCTGTTGTGCAGGCTGCCCGATGCCTGGGCCACTGACAGGAGTTCCCGCAGCAAGTTCGAGTCGGGTGCTCCTCCCACGACACTTGTTTGTACTGCCCCCCCATTGTCTGCACCACACAGGTGGCGGGAAAACAAACTGTGACCTCCATTCAGGCCACTCCCCTCCATTACACCTGCACCAGTGGGGGCGCCTCCTTGACCTGACGGCTGTCTAAGAGACATCCCAGCTTGCGGTCCAGGCACTCCAACTGCCTTCAAGCCCATCGAAGGCAAGCCCAAGTTGGGTTGCAGCACTTTCTGAAAGAGTTGCGACAGTTGCTGTTGCTGCTGTTGCTGCTGCCGCTGCTGCTGTTCAAGCAGCTGAGACAGGAAGGCGAGTTGCTGATTTGCGGGATGTGCACCTGAGCCTACTTGATACCCAGGCAGAAATTGACTAGCCATGGGTTTCAATTCAAGGGCACCACCTGCGGGTGTACTGACAGGGCCTGCTGCCCAGGAAAAGGGATGCTGGGCCAGGTAGGTGCCGCCACCAGCCGAACCTGTGACTGCCACCTCTGGAGGGTTTGCCGCAGGCCCATTGCTGCTAGCATCAATCCCAGGGTTCACCCGCTTGGGGCTTGGCACTCCCTTGCCTTGTTTCTTCGCCCGTCTCTTTGCAGTTTTCCTCGATTTGGGGTACAACTGGGCTCCCCCAGTGTCCATTGCATGTGAAACCTCAGTTGGCTGTGGTCGAACCTGCTTTGATAGTGGTGCCAGCAACTCAGCAAATAAGGGACTGACATTGCTGTTTGGGAGTCCCCGCTGGAGCAAGACTGCCGGTTGAGCCCCTGTTGTGCCTTGATCAAGACCTGCTGTTGCAGGCGACGCGTCATTGGTTGCTGGAAGTTTTTTGGGTCCAAACAGCCCGTCGTCCGGTTCTGTCCCTGCAGAATCCTCATCTGAAGAGATTCCAGAGGCCATCAACACATCTTTGACCTCCGGAACCTCACATGAGTCTCGACCCGTGGCACTCTGGATGTATCGCTGCAAATTGGCAAACACTGGGAGGTCTTGAACTTTGACTGCAGTTGGCTGGACTCCAAGTTCATTGTCAATCAGCTCAGGCAGTCCTGAAACTGTGCCACTGCAATCGTGCTGCTGAGATGCCCCTGTTTCCTCTGCTCTCTTGCTTGCACCACTTGCAGCGCCTGTTTCTCCGTCAGCATTTGCAAGGTGGGTGCAGGGCACGGGTGTGTCAGGTGCTGCAGAAGGCACACCCTGTGGTCTGCGGCGTATTGCTAACCTGACTGACGATGTGTCCAGGCCTTCAAGGGTGGAAACCACTGCTTCTGTGCGTGCCAAGTCAGGCCCAGCTTTCTCAATCTTCTCAAGAAACTGCAGGTCAGTCAGCACACCGATTGAAAACAATCTTTTTGTTGTCTTGTATGTGCCAAGGGGCAGCTGCCCATTGAAAAGAAATGGCAACAGGATTATCAATTCCAGTGGATGATGTCATGGCATGTGAGAGGAAATTCATTCCATAGAACAATTTTGGCCCGCCATCCTGCTAATGAGAGTGTGAATGCAACCCGCAGTCAAGCCTCAGAGCTCCAGATGCTAATTTAGATGCTCTTGTGCTCTGCTACTGACTACCACACACCTGCTGCAGTTCATCGAGTCCCCAAATTGGCCCAACCCATTGGTGCAAAGTGTGCACAATGACAGCATCAATTTGAGCACTGACATCAAGCAGCTTCAAGACAGAAGGTCTGCACGAGACATTGGGAATCCCACAGCAACCATTCAAGGCGTTGCAAAAAAAAGGGAGGGTGGTGGGTGGTGGAGGAGGCAATGCAATGGTACATTCACAATATCATAATATGTGGTCACCAGCAGAGAGCCCCAACTCAGGTAAAACTACTGGTGCACTGCAATGTGCACCTTTGCCTACCTTCTCACCAGTCTTCCTGTGCAGCACCTTCACCACTTGCTCGATGTGTAAGACACTGGCCGAATGTCTGGTCCATTGCAGATAGTTTTGAAATGGCTCTTCACAGATTGGGCAGGCATGTGGTCTTTGCTGGCTTTCGGTCAATGGCTGAGACTGAGCACCTGGGCAATAGTGATGGAGAGAACTCAGCACACACTGGTACACATCCATGACAGCAAACCCAGAGTAATTTGCAAACCTTGTCACATTGCAGAAGAACAGACAGCTGCCACCCTGGCAGCACGCATAAATGCACATTTAACGTCGCAGCCAGTCAGTGCAATGGTGGAGATATGGCATATCTTGATAATGGGCTCATCATTGGGTTCTAATCCTAATCACCCTCCACGCCCTTGAACAGAATCTCCAGCCCTTTCAGTGTGCTCCACCAGCCTCTTCCCCAACCAGAACAACAATCCTGCACGCTAGTGAACTCCATGGCATTCCCTGTTGCAGGCTTCCAGACATCCATCAACTTATGGTTGAGTAAACGTGTTTTCATGGCTGCATGAAGAATGCAGACCCAATCTAATCGTGATCACATGGGCACCAGCAACACTGCATACATACAGTCGATGTTGCTACTTCCACACAGCGGTTCCCCAAGTGGCTTGCCTGGAATAGGTCTGCCAGATGCATCAGCCCCTGTCATCCGCACCAGTTCCGACTCCAACGTGGACTGATGCTGCTGGCTCAGTTCATGGACCAACAGAGCACACAGCTCCAGGCCCTTCTTTCCACAGAGGCCACAGTGGTAGGGCTCATTGGGCAGTTCTGCCACAAGCCTGTCCAAAGGATCCTGCAAGAGGCAGGCCACATGGCAAGCAGCTAGTAAGCCGTGGCCCTCTTTGGATAGTGCATCCCAACCATCAGATGCCCCCCACCATCACATTGGCCTTGCTCACACAATATGATGTTAGAATTCACCAGGCTCAAAGCACCATCTATCTGCCTGCGTGGTGGCAACTATCTTGTGAGCAAGGGTAGAAATGAGCCAAGTTCATTAAATGGACGCCACAGAGGTGCACACTGCAGCACTTGTTCGACTCCACTTGGGGAATACGAGGGGCTGAGGGAAACATGTGAATGTTGTTCACTTTCTTTCTGTGTGCAATCTTATGTCACAAGCAATTCTGCACAGCTTTTGGTTTTGTGATGACTGAGATGGCTGTATGACACGCCATTCAAGCACACAATGCTACCAAGTGATAAATGTCATAATCACAAACAGAACAGTCAGGTCATATCCACATGTTTATGGGGTACAGCGAATCTCAATATTGCAGAACAATGAGCATCTGCAACTCAACCACAACAGAATGTAACAGAGAAAAATGCGATGAACCACACACCACAGCTACAGAGTAGTTGCCGAGGTTGTGGAGCTGTTTGGTGACACGAATGCAGGGTGGAAAGATGCTATATGGACCTCATATTTTGCACAATCTTATTGACAACTGCGCAGTCTTGCACACATCATATCCACTGGTGGTCCTGCCTCACTATCAATCCCGTTTTCACACGTTGTTGCCTGAATATCAGCCTGGATTCCATCAACACCACCACGGCTGCCATCTGGAGAAGGGAATGTTGGGAGTGTCGAATTCTCTGCAACCTTCAGTGCCTTTGTCCGAGGAGCAATCGACTGCTCTGCCTATGAACCACACAACACAGATCAACAGCCAATGCCACATTTGAGGGGCTGGATATGCCTTCGGGAACTATATAGATATAGCATGTGTGGGCGCATCAAGGTGCTCTGTTTCATGCACTGGTGCATCAGATGCGCCACACGTGGCATGACTATTACACTGCTCTACAAGGAATGCAGCTTTAGTCCATAACCCAATAACTTGCATTGACCATCAACAGTTCACATCAATCGGCTGTGTTAGTTACATGCATGGATAAATGCGCGAGGTGCTTCACCATGCGCTGGTAATGCAATCAAGGCGTTTTTGACCAAAGCCAAGTGTCAAATCATTGGTGACTGTTGCAAAGGATCCATAATGCGCTTCCAACAGTTAAAAGCTTTGCCGACAACTGCCATGGAAACATGTGCCAAAGGGTATACAGTCCTTACAGGAGTGCCAGAGCTCCAAAGACACTGCTATCATGCATGCGCCACAAGAATGCATGGGATGCAAAGATTTGCCAACAAAATTACCACAAATCTATGTTCCATTACGCCCATCTATATATTCTCTCTCTTGAGAATTAGTGAAGTATGCAGGATATGAAAGAGAGCGATACATTGTATGTGTGGAGTACTGAACATACTGTGCTTAGGCACTGAAAACCTATTGCATGCAATGTACTGCATGTCTGCTGTGCCAACTCCAATCCCAAAGTATTTGCAAACTTAAAGCCTTAGAGAAAATCAAAAGACCACACTATCACAAAAGAGCTGCTACATGCTTGTTGATGCCATTTGAAGCTGCTGTTAACAATTCCAAATGAATTGTTGGAGATTGGCAAGCTCCCAAGGCAACTAGGATTCATATTTGTTTGATGGCAACAATGCACATATCCTTGCAGCATACCTTTTTCATGTCCTCTGTACCACCTCTTGCCAACACTGCATCACGAACCTTTATCTGTGAGGGACACAACCACGAATGTTTGACAAGAGATCATAGCAAGTGGCAGCACAATGCAGCAATGCACACCACTGTGGACAGCAGCTTGCAGCTGAGCAACGAGTGCCAGCTTCAGTGGTCTCGGTCAAAACATGGGCTCATGTTCCCACAAACAAGGCCGACAGATAGGCAGCACAGCTTAGCACAGAAAATGTCCAATGCAGCAGGAAGGTGGCACTCTACAATTATCCAGTTCACCTGGTAGAAACACAGCAATGGTATTCTGATAGGCGGCAAGTGTCCAGATGAAGTGGCATTCAACACCAGGTGCTGTGTACTGCAACACAAGCAGCATTTTGTGGGAGACTGGACACACAGCAGTGCGTAAGCACCACAAAGGGTCTTCCAACGGAGGAGACCAAGCGTGTCGGTTCCCCAAATTGATCACATGGCAACCCTCACCACCAAGCCCTGGACGTTGGACACTGCTCCCTTCAGCTTCTCAGAGTTTGTTGTCAGCTTTCCAATTTGGTTCAAGCCTTCTGTAAGTGCTGAATGCAACACAGGAACAAGTTTGAGCAGGCGAATGGACATGTCTGAGCAACAAATGAACAGATCCTTAGCCAGACACCAAATGTTGTTTGGCCGTCCTAGCACATAGAGATCAATAGAGGGCAAGCACAGAGTCAAAACTGGCATGCAGCATTCACAAGATAATGTGCCTGGCTCCTTTTGTGACACTTGTTGCTGAGTGGATAATGGCAGCCTCCCTCTGAAAGTGTTGTTCCCAAGTCCCAGGCAGCATCCGTCCTATTCAAACACTGACGGTCACTCATAATGCTATGGCCCAGATCTCAGTTTCCCTGTGTTTCGCTGGATGGGATGGTACCTCCATGTAGGATGTCGACCTGCTTGCGCAGACCTGCCACCTCAGCAGTCATCGCCTCCACACGGCCCATGATTTTCTCCCCCTGCTCAGCACTCATGCTGGTGGCCTTCTGCACCACTTCCATAGGGGTTGCACTGGGTTTCTGTTAACCAGGACGGCAGCATCAGGTCATTGTGCTTTCCTATGCAAATAAACCTGCTGGTAAACTGCACTATTCTGAAGGCCAAGGCTTGCAATTGTCAGAGGCACTCGTTTCGATGGCACACAATGTGTCATTTCATTGCTCAATTCTCCACAGCTCCATTCATGTGCTCTGACAAATGAGAAATACGCACAAAACTTGTTTCTTTCTCCCATGTCAACGAGCATGTAGAGAAAAAACTACCGTAGGTTACCAAACCTTTCATGTTGCGGTATCACAGCTTTTTACAGTTTCACTCCACGTTCTTTGAGAAATGCTATTCTTTACGCTCCAAATCCTGTTCTGCAGTCGCAGATTGGGCAGAACAATGCACAGATAAGCTTTGCATAATGTGTAGCAGTCTTTTGGCCCTTATGAATTCTATTCCATGGGACACAAGGAATTTTGGTGCCCAAATGCACAATTTGCTTCCAAACTTTATTTTAAACGATCCGCTCCAAATGCCAAAAGGATCCATACTCCAGACAATCTGTTGACCAACAACCCTTGAAATATGCTGTTATATTTGGAGGTTGATCAGCAAGAACGCCATGGACTGTCCCCAACACCAATAAATGTGAATCAGAAAGCTTCTTGTCTTTGGATTCAAGCTCCATGCGATTTGATGCAGTGCAGCTACATAGACAGTGTCGGTTGTCACTATGTTGTAGGCCAAGCTGAGTCATCAACACACTGATGGCTGAGCACCAGTTCACTGCAGTACACTATGTGATTGGTGACCTGCCACAATGCCACACATGCACTTTGCGCTGCACCAATAAAAAGTACCCAGTTATTGCAAGACATTAACATGGATTTGAAACCACACATCCATATGTAAGGTTCCAACGTTCCCTGTGTGGGGAGAGGTGGCCCACATGCCGTGCGCTATATCTTGAGTGATGCAACAACAATGTCCTGCCAAATGGCCTACTTCTCATTCAACTTTAGTGGTGACAGATTCAAATGAGCAATGCTGAATGAAAAAAGGGCATGGCACAAGTCTGGGCTGCCATCGCCATATCCACTTGATTGGAGAGTAGCATTTCATATCTCACCTGTGGCTGTCAGGATAGAGCAAGTAGTAGGTGGGGAAAGAACAACAGATTTGTCAGGGGAACCCCCTTTTTTAAGCTTTTGCACCTGTTCACTTGCTTTGCAAATGACTGGCTGCCAGATGTGGATCAACATTTACAATGTCCAAGAGACTTGGCCTAAAGAACCTCAACGTTAACAAGTTGTCTGAATGCCTTCTAGACAGCAACCTAAATTTGGACAACGTCTGGCAGGGGCCAAAGAAAGAAACATTGTACCCTCGTCCAGTTTTCATGGCCAGATATGGTCCACTGGAAATACTCTGCCAGAAAGACAGCACAGATTTCTAATGCAGTGGCTGTGCTTCAGTTGCCACGATGCACAACCAGCAGGAGTTGGGCAACAGTCGGTGGTGGTAACCCATTGCAGCCACAGGAGGTGCGAATTGCGGACTTTGGGTGCATTGCCATCAATCGGTGGAAGTGTAGGTTGCTGTGCAGCCTGCCCCGTTTGGAGCCAGCCAGGTAAATTGCAATGATGAAGAATTGGTGCATTTTTGTATGCAACAGTGGCTGTGGGACTGGATTCACGGAACCCAGAATCCAGAACATTGAAATAACTATTCAAAGGATATCTTGGATGCCACAGTGCAGGGTGACAGCTGAGAAAATGGCTTGCTGTGCTTCGAAATCGCAGAAGATGGTGCCATTAGTCGCCTGCTAGAAGTTGTGACCTGGCAATACCAGGACTATTCGCTAGCCCTGAACTCCAATCAGAACATTAGGCTACCAGTCCACTATGCCTGTTATTCGAGTTATGAATTGTTCACGAAGAATGCACAGAAGAATGGGCAATAATACAGAACCTAGGTGACAAAAAGTCAGACTGATAAATAACACCCAAATAACAAAATGGTGAAATCTTGAAATAGATGCAGTAGCTTACTTGAACGAGGATCTTCAGCTCATCCAGCCTGGCCTGCGCAAACATATTGTTCCCATGAGACATCGATTCAAAACGGCTGGACAGTCTTGTGCATATTTGGATCCCCACAAAGGCAACAATCATGGCCCACCCCATGCCAACACAGCAAAGGTCAGTGCTCAGGTGTTGTGTGGACAAGTTCCTTGATGTTGCAGCTGCAAATTTTCTTGAGAGCCATTGAGTATCCTGCCAATGCTTGAGTGTGTTGGCTCCTGATCCAGTAGAATATTCTGTAAGATTGCGCGCACTGCTGCAATTGTTCAACATGGCCTCCAACAAGAACATTCCAAATTATGTTGTCAAATACCACCCATAAGTTCCCGCCAAAGAGTTGGTGGGTACCATGAATTAAATGCGAAGCCCACCTGTACAATGCTCTTCAACTGCTCCAATCCTGATGTAGCACTCTGGTGAGGGCAGATAAAGGACAGTCGAATGTGAAACATGTTACGATGTATGTGTGCATTCTCACATGGGAGGGCACACCACAGCTTTCTGGCAAGGCTTGATCACGTGCAAACCATGGAGTTCGAGGATCATCTTGTAGAGAGAGACAGACAGGATATGTAGCTGGCACCTCCACAAAAAGAAAGCAATTTGTGTATTATTTGTACCTCTCTGGCAGAGAATCTGGAGGTTTCTGAGTACAAGGAGCTACAAAACAAGATGCAGCCACATAGCACTGCGCCCAATTCTATCATGTCACAGTCAGCAGGCTGTCCTAACCCTGGAAGCATAGCAAAGCTACCTGGAGAGCCTTTGCTGTCGTGTCACTAGCAGGCACTGTGATCTTGCCATCCGTCGCCGATTGGTCCCGACTTGTGCCACCATCTCTGTACTTTTTCAGCTCATCTTCCATGGAGCCTTCAAAACAAGACCAGAATTTATGCACAATATGCCCATACCACACAATAGGCCGCATAAGGTGTGAACAATCAAAGCTTACATGAAAGCAGCACTGACATAATGACACAGTAGCAATAGCGCATACAGCTATTTGCATTTACAAACTTCCACCATATCTCAAGTTACAAATTTCTAGCTCCAAATGGACAGGGATGTGGACATGCAGTAATGAGGATGGGTGGTGCTCATTCACTGTACACAAACATAATAGCAATATTATCACATTCCTGCACCATGGCATCTGCCATAGATTGGTTCAAGCCAGTTCCCAAAGAATACTGTTTTTTGGCACTGGTTTAGGAATGGAGATTGTTTGGGGCATTATTTGAGGATGGAAATGCCTCCCACAGCTTCGCAGGCACAAGGTCAGCGCTGTGTCCCTGTTCACAAGAAACAGAACTGTGCACCGACCACTGTGCTACCGATAACCACAATCCGACTTTCACACCAAGCACCAACTTGTGACATGTGCTGCTCAAGACTTGTGTGCTTTCCTGGCAGTGCAAAACCAAACCAATGTTCAAGTGCACCTCTGCACTCGGGCATTTCTGATTCTTATATCACAGCAAGGACGGGAGTCTCACCAACAATTCATTGAGGCAGGTGGTACGTATTCGTGCAAATCTACAACTGCAACACTTCCCACACATTTGGCCCACAACAGTGCCATGAGGAGTACCAACAATGCACAGGTCCCACTCAGAGTGCCCACATCTGCTCAGCCTCTGGTGCCCCACCCTGTCTGACCGCCTCAGGCTGCCTCTGATTCTCCCTCCTCCTGCACGTCCTCAACCCCACTCAGACATCTTGCATTTCAACGTCCCGCCTCCCCCAGCAGCCCTAAAATGCTGTTGCTTACTCATATGGCAATGAAGACACGTACCGCCGGCTTGCTTCTCAGCAGACAAATGCACCTGCATGGTGGATGCGCTCTAACACTATTCTCAAGCAAGCATCTGTTTGGAATAAAGAAGACAGCCTGTATCTGGAGTGCAGCCCTTCAGAAAAGGGCGATGGGAAATCTGGGAATTGAACAAGATCATTGGAAGTGTCTGAGTATACCAAGAAGAGCGTCCAGTACACTGCATGGACAATGCAGTAAGATGGTGTGCAGCGGCAGGAATGGAGTTGGAAGTTGTGCAGAGGCAGGATTGCTATTGGAAAACCTGGTGGACAGTCACCGACAACTACCATAATGGTACTTGCTCAGTGAATTCCATGCACTTCATTTGTCTAAACATGGACAAATGCAGCCCTTGCATCTGAGGTGATGACAAGCACAGAGGCATGAACAAGCATGGTTCAGAGGGAGGCTGACTATTGTATGGGGATGTTATTTTGCTGCAAAACAACCATCGTTGCACATGGTTCTTTTGGGGATCCCCAGGCAGTCAGTGCCATCCAAATTATCTGGGAGGGCCATGGAACATGGCTCGTGTGCCTCAACGCATGACCATCCACAGGCCACTCCCATGCTCAACTATTTATGCTGATTTGGGCTGTGTCCCAGGGCACTGCGTTTCTGCGGTGTTGGATGGGGTCATCTTGCACCACGAGAATCTGGCAATTTAATGCAGTGTAGTTGTCAGAAAGACATGGCAAAAAGAGTTGTGTGCCCCTTGTGACCTTGGGGAATGTGCACGAATAAACTGGCAGCCATCACAAAACATCACGTAAAATCACGCAGAATCACAGCCCGGCAAACGATCATCACACTTTTGCTGCTCAGGACCGGGGCGTGCCAATTGTGTGAAATGCTTTCATTTCTGTTACCTCCAACATTCCATCAAAATTCTCTGGGGACTGTTCCCTGCGACAATGCCGATTGCTGGGCTGTGCGACGCACGGCAGGAGTGACGGTTGACAAGGCGCCGCAACTGACACACTTCCCAGACTCTGCTCCAGAAACAGAGGGCCAGCGGGCCCTGGCGGACTGGACTCTGCAGGACCAAATTGGCGCCATGCGCTGCTCACCGCTTGGTTGGCGTGCCCGCACACGCCTGGCTGCAGCCCGTCGGGCCCGCCCCCTTCCTGCACGCCGCCCTGTCGGCGGTGCGACAAGGGGGCCTTCGAGCCGTCCGGGCTTGGCCCCTCAGCGTGCCTGGGGCCAGCGGCGCAGTGCATCCTCGTGTCGGACGGCGATGGACAGCGCTGGATGTCCGGCGCCTTCGGGCCTCTTCGGTTGCAAACCTTGCACCTAAACTATGTTGAGGCTGCCAAGCACGGTGAGGCCCATCCGCCGTCACCAGTGCCAAGATGGTGTTTTATCCACGGTGCTTTTTCGCGCATTCAAGCCTGCTGGAGTTTGCGATTCCGGCATCGCCCTCGCGGCGTCCGCAGTTTGGGGGCCC